GCCTGCTTGTGCAAGTGTGCGAGTCGAAACCCGTACAGCGGTTCCGAGCCAATAGATGTACTATAGGGGCTAAACAATTAATTACCTATATACTATTTTGGGGGTTCCTTTTTATAATTGCGGTATAATGGCCCGCAAAACCCTATTCTAATTAGTAAGGCCCCTATATTAGACTCTGGGAGCTGATCTCGTCAGCTCACCGAACAAAGAAATCCATGGAGTTGTGGGAATCCTAGCCCTAAACCCAACAAATCTTAAGCCCCATAGCCCTCAACACTGAACCCTGTCCCCCAAAAGATCCTCCTACACCCTAGATTCGCCTGAATCCTAAGCTTGGTCCTCGCCTTGAACACCCTACCCTCCCAAAAGGAACAAGCCTTAGAATGGGTTTAAGGGTTTAGGGTTTATAGGGTTAGGGTTTAGGGCTTAGGGTTTAGGGCCCCCGTAGACCCCCTCACGCCTCAAAGGCACAGACCGCCCACCTATGAGACGTTGGTCACTTTCGTGGGCATGGACGGTTTCGGGATCCTCGACGGAGATTTCAGAAGCTGTAAGGCAACTTTAGGTTTTGGCCACTTCAGGGTTTAGGGGTTTTGGGTTTAGGGTTTAGGGGTTTTGGGTTTTGAGTTTTGGGTTTGGTGCTTGGGTTTAGGATTTAAGGCTTAGTTTTAGGATTTAGCCTAAGGGTCCAAGTACCTTGTACTCAAAACCCTAAACCCTTTAAACCCAGATACTCACCTACAGAGCTAGTATGTTGATCTCAAGTACCTAGTTTTGGCTACCTTGGAGGTGTAGTGTTTGGGGGCTCAGGAATCTGAGCAGTAGCTGAAATAAGAGTTCTGAAGTAGAACCCAGTTGAAGTGCTTCAAGAGGGGTATCAGGGGTTCGGAGCTTTTGGGTTTTAGGTTGGGTTAGGGTTTTGGGTTGTTCGGTCGCAGGCTTGGGTGTGAAGGAAAACTGGCTTTGGAGGATGATAATGGATGTATCTTCGCCATCTGAGCTGGGCAGCAAAAAAATCCTTCGGCTCCCTTCGAGGCTCACCTCACGTCCCGTGCTTTCCCCCAGCAGTTCGTTCTGAGAGGCTTTTCCTTAAAGTTCAGGGGGCACTCCACAATCTTTGGGGGTAGCGCCGGTCTGCAATACATACTGCTCGAACTTTCAGGTCATGCAACAGAAGCTGCAGTCACTCGGAACAAGAGCTCTTGAAACCCGCGATATGTTCAGGTATCGCCCGAAACCCCACGCGCAGGTATTCCATGTTCTGGTCTCGCGCCATGAGAGACGACGCCACTCGCTGAAATCAGCCCGATACCCTGAATGGAAGAAGATCCCTACAAGAAGTCTTGTAACGGTGGATTTCAGGGGGTCTTTGGGTTTACGAGTTTGAGGTTTGGGTTTCGGGGTGTTGGTACCTGGTTTCCGAATGATTTGTTGTTCGGGGATTTGGGGGACCTAAGGATTGACACACAAGTTCTTCAATCCGACAGCCGGAATCCAGCACCCTAGGCCCCAGAGCTTACACCCGCACATGACACCTCGAAGACGACAGAGCGTATTAGGTGAATTTTCAAGTTTCTCCCGGAGTCACTTTACCCTAGATCCTGCGTCCTAAACTGAAATACGAACACCGACAGTTCGCGGTTCAAGCTTTGAGTAGAGCTGATTTCAACGCACCTTTCACCGTGGTTATATCCGCTTATGCCTGAGAATCCTCTTCGAATGAGTCACATGGAAGGGTCTTGACATCCTGGCATTCAGTGCTGCTGCTGGCGAAGACTCAAGGTGCATTGTGATTTTGTAAGGAGAGAGGGTGAGGGTAGCCTTTTAGAAAGACCGCAACCATCAAGCAAGTGGAGGACTTCAGAAATCCCTAACCACAAACAGCCAACTCCTCGCCCAATCCAGGTAATCCTGGCCTATTCCCAGGACGGCGAGCAGTTAGATACCCGGCTCAGATACAAAACATCAGGAAACATTGTATCTAGGGCTTAGCTTTAGGGTGCCGGTGAACACAAGGATAGGGTACACCCTGATCCCATGTCTGCAGTTTTCATAGCAAATGTGGAGCTTTTTTCTGGTGAAGGGCTTAGGGGTAGGAGCGGTGCTGAAGTACAGACCTTACCTCTCTGCTTTAGATTCTTCAGATCCGAACCGCGATCCTGCAGAGTGTAGTCACAGTTATTGAAAGCATAAGGGAGGAGCTTCCGAAGACAGGTGACCCAAAACTCAGAGAGAAGCAGTTGGATCCAAACAACAGAACCGTAAACCCCAAGCTCCTAAAGCCTAAACCATAGCCTGACAAAATGGTTCCTGCAGCGCGGCCCAGTGAGCTAGATTGTGGGGATTAAACTTTCTGAAGAAGCACCTTACAGTCTCGGAAACCCTAAATCCTAAACGCTGGAAAACCCTAAATCCGAAACCCCCAATCCTCCACCCTGAACCCTAAACGCTAAACCCGACAAATTCCTGCACCACCGAACCCGTTTAGTGTATGGGATCGACATTGCATGCTTCTTTCGCTTGCTTGGTTGCATCTTGCAGTCTCACTCTCAACAGACTTGTCGTCATTCGCCTCGCCTGGATTGTCCCAGTGGGGGCGCCGAAATCCGTAAACCCTAAACTCTAAATTCTAAACCCCTAAACCCTAAGCCCCGAAACCCTAAACCCCTAAACCCCTAAACCCCTAAACCCTAAACCCAAAGCTCTAAGCCCTGAACCGCGAGATGTCAGGATCTCTAAGCCCTAACTCTCAGATGTCAGGATGCGGAAAGGGGAGGACCACTCCGGCTGGTGTGGCTTGGTTATCTGTATGCATCTGTGCGCATAGATAGATAGATAGATAGATA